TCCAATCAGGAATACCTGAGTTGAAATCCTCCCTCCAACATTTACTTAGCTGTGTGACTCAGGGCAAGTCACTTACCCTCTGTTAGCCTTAGTGTCCTTATATGTGAAATGAGAATAAACAGCACTTGCTTCATAGGGCTGTTGTGAGTCTAAAATGAGATCATATTTGCAAAATGCTTTGCAAAACTTGAAGCACTGGGGCAGCTAGGTGGTGCAGTGGATAGAGAACTGGCCCTGGAGTCAGGAGAACCTGAGTTCAAATCCAGCCTCAGGTACAACCCTTACTAGCTTTGTGACCCTGGGCAAATCACTTAACCCCAATTGCCTCGCAAAAGCAAAACAAAAAAAAATGCTTAAAGCATTCTATAAGTGCTATTATTATTATTATGTGCTAGGCGCTCAGTGGGGATACACCAACAAAAAATGAAAACAGTTCCTATCTTCAGGAAGCTTACATTTTATTCAGGAATTCAACATATAAAAAAATAAGTAAATACAAGATAATTTAGGGAGGATCATGTTATTCATGTTGTTCATTCATCCTTTGTTTCTGAAGAGGACCAATGACATCATGGGGTGATGTCTTGACTTGCACATGAATTGTATTTAAGTGAGGCAGAGATGCACAAAATTGTCAGCCTCACTCTCTCTTCCAGAGCCACTGAAGTTCAGTGGCAGGACAAAAGTCAAGATGACTAGTGATGGCCTGGGATGTGGTGGATGACCTTGTTGTCTTGGATGTCAGACCAAGCTCTAAGCACTCCACAGTGCCTGCTTCAGCACTTTATGGCAGTTGGAACAAATTGTTCTCATCCGCCCATTCCACCGGGGCAGCTAGGTAGCACAGTAGATAGAGTAATAAATCTTTTATATAGTAACTAGTAATCCATTTTGTTGACTAGTTAGGGAGCTAAAACAAAAAATGGATTTTCCATCCCTCAGCAAGAGAACTTGTACAATTCTCCCATTTTCCATCTCATACATGTGTGAGCATTTCCATGGTCATAGGATTCAGGGCTGTAAGGGACCTTAGTAGTCACTTAGTCAAATCCCCTCATTTTATAGATGAGGAAACTGAGGTAGCAGGATTTGAACCCAGATCATAGTGTTAGATCAGAGCTGGAAGGGCCTGGAAGAGGCTATTAGTCAAATCCTCTTATTTTGCAAATGAGGAAACAGCACCAGAGAAGTTCAAGTAGCTTGCCCAAGGTCACAGGGGTGGTAAGCTTTAGAAGTCCAATTTGAACTCAGGACCTCTGCCTCCAGAGCCAGTACTCTTTCACTGTACTCCCATTGCCTTCCTAGAGGTCATCTAGTGTAAGCCCTTCATTTGACAGGTGAGAAAACTGAGGCTCAGACTCCAAGTCCATCACTTAGTCCTCTCTTTTCCTAAGGAACCCCATGGAATCATTTAAAAAGTCTGATAATGGCACCTCCCCTACAGTTGGAGCCACCCAGGTCTCACTATCACAAGAAACTGGCCTTTTTTTCATCTTGAAGAAGAACTAGTGTGGCTTCTAGTTGATAATTCACCATTAGAGTTGTTTCACTGATATTTAACAAACTTGGCTGAGATACAATAAGCCCTGATGGGTATGGACTGTTACTGTTTACAAAGCATGGCCATGCCCATTGTCTCATTGGATTGCTTAGACAGGATCTTCTCCCAAAGGGAAGAGAAGGGACACAGAGACTGCTAGAATGACTGATGGATCTCCAAGTGCAGCACCTAACACCAAAGAGTTCTACCAGCCCCTGGGATTACCCTCACCTATTCTACACATAATATACATACTCAGTGGGTACTGGGTTATTCTAGGTTGGGCTCCAGTTCCTTTTATTCTCCAAAGAATGAAACCACCATGTACCCTAACTACTGAGGGTCTCTCAGGAGCAGACTTGCCATTCTGGCCAGGGCTGGTGGCCTGGGACTATCATGTGAGCTAGTTCATCTCTCAAAACAAGAACAAAGACTCAGAACCAGGGGTTAAGGTGGTAAGGCAACCTGGGGACATGAATCTGATCAGCCTTTTGCTGTTTCCCACAGACCAGTTCTTATAGCATCCATAACTCAGAGTGGAGCTCTGTCTCTGTTCCTTAAAATCCCAGACAGGGCAAGCAGACTTTCTGCAATGGAAAATGCTCTCAAATTGGAATTAAAAGACCTGCTTCCAATGCTAACTGGCTGTGTGACCCTGAGCAAGCTCCTTAACTTTTCTGAAGTTTGGTTTATCCATCTGTAAAATTATATTAAGTTCCTCAAACACTTCTTCAGCCTGGTGCTCAGTGATGGGGATACCAAGGTGAAAAGTGACATGTACCGATGCAATCATGGCCTACATTAAGAGAGGCTTCCTATCCAAAAGGAGGGAGTTGATAGCTCCATAGTCTTCTACCAGGTTCCGGCCACATCCAAAGTACTGCATTCAGTTCTGGATGCTACATTTTAGGAAGGACCTTGATATACCAGAGAATGATCAGGACGGTGATAGGACTGTCAACCACAGCTTACAAGATCGATTAAAAGACTTGGGAATGATTGACCTTGAGAAGAGAAGACTTAAGGAGAACAGAATTGATAACTTCAAGTGTTCATAGACCCTATAACTAGAAAGCACATTTGAAGGGCTGTCATGGAGAAGAATCTTAATTGCTCCATTTGGATCTAGGTGGCAGAACTCAGATCCAAGGATGGGAGTTTCAGAAAGACAATTTCAGCTTGACCTAAGACAGGGTCTCTAACTGAGCTGTCCACAAATTAAGTGGGTTCTATTGAGAGTCCATATCATGGGACGTCTTTAAGTGGAGGCTTGATGACCATTTGTAGAGGATCTTTGAAAAGGACCTTGTAGAAATTCCTTTTAAGGTACATAGACTAAGATAGCCTCTAAACTCCCTTCTAGATCTGAGATTCTATGATTCTAATAAAAAGTTAGAATTGAATGGGAATTCTAACATGTACACAAATTAAATTCAAATATTAATAAATTATTATTGAACTATGCTCAAAGTGCTGTTCTATGCTATGAAATAAGATATTTCCTTCCCTCCTGGAGTTCATAGTCTGATTTGGGAATAAGATACATATTTGGATATCAATTATGCACGATATCATATGTTAGGTAGAATGTGCTCTGTAAGGGGAAGGGTTGTTACTGACTGGGGATCAGGGAAAGTTTTATAGAAAAGGCAGTATCCGAGTGGGGCTTTAATGGATGCACTGCATTCTTTAATAAGGATGGGATGCTAGAAGGTAGAAAGTGATAGGTGCAAAGAAGAGGTCCAGATAAATTGCTATAAGAAAATCTGAGGAAGGAAAGATCACTTTCCTCTCAGGACATTGTGAAAGACTACATGGAGAAGGCAGAATTTCAGCTGGGTATTAAAGGAAGAGAAGTTCAACAGATGGAGCTGAGGAGAGATTGACCTTCAAAGGGCTGTTGTGAGGAAAGTTGATTCATTCATAATACCATCAAAGCCTTGGTAAATGTTCAACATATTTATTGGAAAAATGCTGACCTGTACTCAAATTCCAGCTCTGATAAATGTACTAGCTGTGAGGGCTTGGGCAAAGTCACTTAACCTCAGTTAATTCAGAAACTCAGTTTCCACATTTGGAAAATCAGAGTAATACTACCACCATTACCAACCCCACCTCCCACTCGATAAACTTCAGTATCTCCCTATCATCTCTAGAATCAAATACAAAATCCTCAGGCAGAGAAAGCTTTTCATAACCTAGCCCCTTCTACCTTTCTAGTCTGCTTGCTCCTACCTCCTCACAAACTCTTCCATCCAGTGACATTGGCTTCCTGCTTCCTGTTCCAAGAATAAGACACTCCATCTCTCAACTCCCAGCATTTTCTCTGGCTGTCTCCCATGCCTGGAATGCTCTCTCTCCTCATCTCATCCTCATTTCCACCTCCTGGCTTCCCTGAAGTCCCAGATAAAGTCCCACCTTCTTCAGGAAACCTGTCCTGATCTCCCTTACTTCCAATGCCTTCCCTCTTTTAATTATTTCTTATTTTTTCTATATAGTTTGATTGTAAATAGTTGTTTGCATGTTCTCTCTCTCATTAGATTGTGAGCTCCTTGAAGCCAAGAACTGTCTTGCTTTCTTACTATCCCCAGTGCTTAGCAGAGTGCCTGGCATGTAGTAGGTGCTAAATAAATGTTAAGTGACTGATTGACGGGAGACCTATTCTACAAATACAAATCTGGGCTCCAACACCTAACCTCACAGGATCATAGATTTAGAGCTAGGATCACAGATTTAGGTAACTGCAACTCAGAGAGATTAAGAGACTTGCCTCAGGTTACACAGGGAGTAAATGGCCAAGTTCAAATTCGAACCCAGGGCCTCCACCTTCAAAACCTGTCCAATTTTCCACGGCATGAAACTATTTATTAATGTGTGACCTTGGGCAAGTCACTATTCATCCCATTATAATGAGTCTTCCTCATCTGTAAAATGGGGATAGATAATAATTGGTGTACTCTACCTCACAGAGCTACTGTGAGGTAGCATTTTTGGAAAGGCCTGTGCACTCTCCTTTTGGGAGACAACGAAGTACCGAAAGAGTACTGGGCCTGTAGCTGAGATGCTGGAATCTGAGCGCTGACATAACACCTTTGGGGCCATGGCTAACTTAAGAAGGTTTATTCTGTAAAACAGGTATTTGAGAGGTACGAGCTTTATAAACTTGAGGAGCAGGGAGAAAGCCGGTAGTTACAGCAATATTCAATACAATATTCAAAAGCGCTGTGATAGCCATAGGGCTCAGCGCTGGAAGGAACCTTGGAATCTCGTCTACATTTTACACATGAGGATGACAGGCAGAGTACAGGCATTCGCTCAAGGTCACAGAGCCAAGTCCTGGACGCAGATCCTCCTGCTTCAGCGGTGCTGGTGCCTGGTCCCGGGCCCCTACACCCCTTACCCTGCCTGTTCTGCCCCAAGAGCAGCAGCTAAGCAGCCTTCTGCAGCTCTTAACGCCCAGATGCTCCTGGCTCTGAGCAGGGGCGGGCAGGACTGCTTCCGCCTCCAGCCTCCTCCCCTAGGCTGCACCCCGCCTCACCTAGCCAGGCTGGACCCCACCCCTCTCACCTGCCTGGGCTGGGCTGGGCTGCCACGGCCGCACCGGCAGCAGCTGGTAGAGCTCGGCCACGCAGGACAAGTGCCAGTCAGTCCGGTCCAGCCCGCGCCCAGTTCGGGGCGCTTCCAGAGAAAAGGGATGAGTTTTATGGCTGAGCCTCGACCCCCGGGGAAGCCTGCGGCGCTACAGACGGTGAGCTCAGCGGGCTGAAGGGACCTGGGGGCCGCGTCCATTCTCGCTCCAGCCTGTGCCTTACTCTCCCTTGGCCCGGGCTGCGGGATGTTCGCTGACACCTTGGCTTTTGGCCACCCCTCTGCTCTCCCTCCCTCTTTCTCTCTCACGTGTGCTCTCTCTTTGGCCAACTCCTCTCTCTCCCCTGCACCTGCAGGCACGTATTCCCACGCACCTCACCCGCACGCAACCACAACTCAGGACTGAGCACACTTACTGCCCTGCGCACTTATTTTCACTCGCCTCTTCCAAGCACACAGGGGCAAGCACTCTGCGCTTCCCTCCAGCTCCTGAAATCTTTTCTTACCAGCCAGGTTGGAGGAGAGACAACCTAAGGGTGCTGCCCTCTCCGGAAGAAGCAGATCCTGACTCCCCATCCCCCCTCCGGCCTGGCCGGGAGAGAGCCCTGTCAGCCCAACTTAATGGCTGTGGCCCTTCAGAATTGTCCAGGCTCTCTGGTTAGGAATTCACCAACGAGAATAAGGAAGTGACTAAAAGCACTTTGGTAAAGCTAAATACAGTAGACATTGCCTCAATGGAATGCCAAAGAGTTTCCTAGTATTGGGGAACAAGCTTTCACTCTTTTGAAAAGGGGAAATAATGGCATGAGACTCACACTGTGCACAGTACCTACCACAGTGTCCCTTTTGTTTTGTAGTCTGAATTTTATCGGGATATCTACTCTAGTCTGTATTGAGCAGCGTTCCCTCCTCTTACTTTGGCTATGGGAGGTTTTTAATGATGTTGATAAAAATTCTCTTGCTAATTTTGTGGAAGAGATTGGACATAGTATTGTTAGGTGGATTTGGCAGTGGTTTAATGGTGGGACCCAAAGAAAAGTCATTAGACGTTTACTGCTACCTTGGAAGGTCTCCAGTAGAGTGTTCTAGGAATCTGGGTTTGCTCTTGTGTTTTCACATTATTATCATTTGAATAAAGGCATAGAAAGTATCACCATCAAATTCACCAATGACCCAAAGCTGGGGTCCTTTGCTAAATGACAATGGTTCAAAAAGATCTCAGTAGGCTAGAACATTGAGCCGCATCCAACAGAATGAAACTCAGTAGGGATAAACAGAAAGTCTTGCACAGTGAGTTAAAAAAGTCAACTCCACAAATACAAGACAGGGGTGGGATGGTTCAGCAACAAATTATCTGAAAAATACAGAGACTTATTGTGAAAACTCAATGGGAGTAAACAGTGTGGTCTAAGGGAAATGTAGCACCCAGGAACAGAAGTGATCATCTGTGCTCTGCTCTGATCAGGCCACATATGGAGTATTGCATTTAATCCTGGGCACCACATTTTAGAGAGGACATTGATAAGCTAGAGAGTACCTAGAGGTGGGCAATCATGAAAGTAAAGGACTGATTAAAGGAAATAGGGATGTTTGTGCAAGAGAAGATCTAGGGAAATATGATGTACCTGGGGACTTAAAGGTCTATCATGTGGAAGATAATACCTAATAATAATAATTGCTAGCATTTTAAGTACCCACTAAGTGCCAGGCACTGTGCTAAGTGCTTTACAGTTGATCCTTACAACAACCTAGGGAGGTAGAAGTTATTATTATCCCCATTTTACAGTTGAGGAAACTGAGGCAACCAGAGGTTAAGTGACTTGCCCAAAGTCACACAGCTGGTAAGTGTCTGAGGTCCTCTTTGAACTCATGTCTCCCTGACTCCCAGCCCACTTCTTCATCCCCTGCCCCACCTCAATGCCTCATAAGGAAGAGGGATTCAACTTTTTCTGATTGGCTATAAAGAAGACTAAGAGTTGTGGGTAGAAGTTGTAAAGGGGCAGATTTAGGCTTGATGTCAGGAAAAACTTTATAACAAATAGAGCTATACAAAAGTGGAATAGACTGCCTTGGGAAAAAATGTTCTCCCTCACATGAGGTTGCCAGGTATACGGCTAGACACCCATTTGTCAGTGTGTGTTGGACCAGACCTTTTAGGTCCCTTTTAACACTGAAATTCTGTGATTTGGAACCAAGTGTGTGTGCGTTGAGTTAAAGAAGTCAGGGAGAACCCACTTCATATAGGTGATACAAAAACAAGGTTGGGTCCTTGGATAATCTCTAAGTTTTTTGCCAGTTCAAACATTTCTGTGATTCTAAAATGTGACTTCACCATGTGTTCCACCTTTACCTGTCTACTTCATATAGGGGATGTAAGGAATAATAAAAAATAACCCTGATTTGGTGCTTTGAGCTTTGTAGTTGAAAGCTATATATGGTTAGCAATGCTCTGTGATTCTTTTTCATATTGCTGTATTATTGTTCAAGTGTGTGGCTTGGGAGGCATACTGCCCAGTCAAGTCCAGAATGGCTTCTCGTAGACAGCTACCTCCTTTTTCCTTCCCTAGGCCCTGTGCTAGTTAGGGTTGCCCATGGTAACACAATTCTCTTGAGCAGTTAGGTTGCATCTGATTTTTTTTTTTTTAATCCAGCATGCTTTGAAGCATTCTTGGCAGCAGCACACTGCAGTTTCTTACACACCCTCCATATGTCCTGTTAGGCTTTGGTTATCTGCAGTTTTGAATCTTTTAGGATGGTGAAGAATATCAACTGTTACAGAGATAATAATAACCAACGTTTATATAGTGCTTTAAGAAAATATATATACACACCACTGAGATCATTTGAGCATCTAAGTAAAACATCATCATTTTGGAGGAAGAAACCATAGACCAAGAAAATAGGATGTCAGAACAGGGCAGCGTCTGAGACTGTAGCAGAAGTGTATCCCTCTGCCTCCTTTCCCTGCTACTTAGCCCAAGGATGAAGGTATATTTTAAACCACAAGAGCTCCTCATAAAGCAAGTTTATAAGATTGATTACTGCTGCATTAAGTACAGCACAGTGATTTTTTTTTGTGGTGGTGAAATATTTTGTTAGCCGTGTACCCCAATACTGTTAAGTAATTCAACTCTATGATCTGGAGTGTTGTTTTAGATTAAAACAGCTCTCTACCAGACATAAGGTCCTCAGACAGTGGGCAGGTTGTGATTTTTCAAGGAACTATAATTTCATTGGGGTAGGTCCTCCTGCTTTTGGTGCAGACTTTAAATCCTCCAATTTTTAGTAGAAAACATGAAGCTCTATGACCAAAATTATTCTCAAAGTGAAACTTCTGACGAAAAGCCTCTCTGTACTTAGCTAGGCTGGTCTTGGATGATAGGCTCACAGTCTATCAGTGGACCAGTTATAATAATTCACATTTATATAGTACTCTAAAGTTTATGAAGCATTTAAAATGTACAAGAAGCTTTCCCCAACCCTTCTTAATTCCAGGGCCTTTACTCTTTTGATTATTTCCAGTTCATTCTGTCTGTAGCTTATTTGTACATACTTGTATGGTGTCTCCTCCATTAAATTGTAAGCTCTTTGAGGGCAGGGGCTGTCTTTTGCTACTTTTTCTATCTCCAGTAATTAGCACAGTACCTGGCACATAGTGGGAGTTTAATAAATGTTGATTGATTGAAATAAAACATTAAATATCTGCTAAGGGCCTACAAAGTGTTCTACAAGGCTTCTTGTAGAAGGTGGAATTTTAGTTGAGATTTAAAGGAATCATGGGGATCAGTAGTCACAGCAGAGAAGGGAGATTGTTTTAGGCAAGGGGGATATGCCTGAAGCTGAGAGATCTTGTTTTTCTGAAAAGCCTGGAGGCCAGTGTCACCAGATCAAAAAGAGCACATGTAGGAGAGTAAGGTGAAAGAAGACTGGAAAGGTAGGAGGGGGTTAGGTTATAAAGGGCTTAGAATGACGGAGTATTTTGTATTTTCTCCTGGAGGCAATAAGAAGCCACTGACATTTATTGAGTAGAGAGGTGACATGATCAGACTCAAGTTTTAGGAAAATGACTTTAGTGGCTGACTAGAGGATGGACTAGAGTGGGGAGAGACTTGAGGCAAGGGATTGAAATAACCAAGGCATGAGGTGATGGGCCTGCACCAGAGTGGTGACTGTGTCAGAGAAGAGAGCGGGGCAGATGTTGCAAAGGTGAAATCAACAGGCCTCGGCAACAGCTTGGATATGGAGAGTGAGAGATCATGAGGAATCCAGGATGACTCCTAGGTTGTGAGCTGGGAGGATGGTGTTGCCCTCTACAGTAAGAGGTAAGGTTGGAGGGAGGGAGGGTTTGGGGGAAAGATAATCAGCTCTGTTTTGGACATAATGAGTTTAATATGTCTACTGGACATCCAGTTCAAGATGTCTGAAAGGCTATTGGAAATATAAGATTGGAGGTCGGCAGAGATATTGGGGCAAGAAAGTTAGATTTGAGAATCATCAGCATAGAGATAGTAATTAAATCCATGGGAGCTGATGCAATCACCAAGTAAAGTAGTTTGAAGGAAGAAGAGAAGAAGGCCCAGGACAGAACCCTGAGGGACACCTATGGTTAAGGGGCATGCTCTGGAAAGGATCCAGTAAAGGAAACAGAGAAGGAGTGGTCAGATAGGTAAGAGGAAAACCAGAAGAGAGCAGTTTCCTGAACACCTAGAGAGAAGAGAGTATCAAGGAGGAGAGAGTGATCAGCAGTATCCAAGGCTGCAGAGAGGTCAGAGAGAATGAGGACTGAGAAAAGGCCATTGGTTTTGGCAACTAAGAGGTCATTAGGAACTTTGGTGAGAACAGTTTCAGTGGAATGATATGGTCAGAAACCAGATTGTAAGGTGTTAGAAAGAGAAAAAGGAAACTGGAGGCACATATTTTAATAGCCTTTTTAAGGCATTTAGCTACAAAGGGCAGAAGAGATCTAGGATGATAATTAGCAGAGATGGCAGGATCAAGTGAGAGTTTTTTCAGGATAGAGGAGACATGGACATGTTTGTAGGCAGTAGGAAATGAACCAGCAGAGAGGGAGAAATTGAAGACAAGTGAAAGAGTAGGGATGACAGAGGGGGTAATCTTTTGAAGGAGACAGGTTGGAATGAGATTGCTTTAGCAGGTAGAGAGGTTAGACTTGGTAAGGAATAAGACCATTTTATCATGTGAAACACGGGAGAAGGAGGAGAAAGTGGCAGAAAGTACCTGAGTAATAGATGAGGAAGAGGGGAAAAGAGGGAGTTCATCATGAATGGCCTCAATTTTTTCATAAAATATGAATTGTCAGTTGAGAAGGAAGAGGGAAGGGGAAACCATGCAGGGTTTGAAGAGGGATGAAAAGGTTTGAAAGAGCTGCTGTGGAGAGTGGGATAGTGAGTTGATAAGGCAAGTTGAGAAGGATTGCCTAGCAGCAGTGAAGGCCCAGTTGAGGTGGTATAACATTAATTTGTAATGGACCAAGTCAGAACAGTTGTGTGATTTTCTCCACCTTTGTTCAGCAGTATTTTGTGTGTGACTGAGGTAGGGTAGAGGAGTAGCTCGTGGGAAGGAAGTAGGTTGTGAGTAATAATGGCTAGGGTATTTGAGGGAGAATCAGTATGTTTGTTGAAGTCTCCTAGTATGCGGGCAGGAGTTGGAGAGGAAAGAAAAATTATAAGCCAGGTATAAAATTCATTGAAGAGGGAAGAGAAATGACCTGGGCCAGGGCTGGGAGTGGGGAGAAGGGGAGGATCTATAGACAGCAGCTACCAGGATTCTGACTGGGTAGTAGATATGAATAGCATGAATCTCAAAGGAAGAGAGGTTATTGATTGATGGAGGAAGGAGGAGAACCTAGAAGTGGCAATAGAGAGCATAGAGTATTCCAACTCCCCTGCCTAGACCAGTGAGCCAAGGAAAATGAGTAAAGGTGCAGCTAGTACAGGGAGGCTGTGTCATCATGGGGCAGCTAGGTTTTAATAAGAGCTAATAGATGGAAGGAGTGGGAGAAAAATAGATTTAAGATGACGGGAAGTTTACTACCTATAGAACAGGTATTTCAGAGGGCACAAATTTTTATCTCCATTTTATATGGAGATAACCAGTCTCAGAGAACTTAAATGGTTTACTCATGGTTACCCAGCTAATAACATGCTGTTAGAGCCAGGATATGAACTCAGTTCTCTTCAGACTCTAGATGTATTTCTTTTTTCACTATCCTACACTATCTCCGAAATACACAGGGCCTTTGCAGCTTGGTACTACCTGCTGAGGCCTGTGTTTTGTGTGTGTGTGTGTGTGTGTGTGTGTGTGTGTGTAGAAAGTGACTTGCCCAGGGTCACACAGCTACTAAGTGTCAAGTGTCTGAGGTCAGATTTGAACTCAGGTCCTCCTGACTCCAGGGCTGGTGCTCTATCCACTAGACCACCTAGCGGCCCCTCCTTTTATGTCTTTGTTTGGCAATGACTCCTTCTGTCCTTCTGCATCCCTGTTGCTGGCTCCTCTTCTCCTGGAGTGGGGCTACGTGGATGCACTAACCTTCTTCCAGATTCTTGTCTCTGATTCTGCATGGGATTGTATCGCCACATTGTCTATACCTCCATCTGGCACTGGTTCCTCCTTTCCTGAGATGACCTCTCTTTTAAAGGCCAAGACTAAGGCCTCTATCAGATGTGATTTTCATCATCAGTGTCATGTCAGCTAACTCAGAACCTAAGAACTTGAGTTAAGACCAGAGCAGACCATGCTAATGGGCAACACAGAAGGAGGGAACATGCATTTACTAAACACCTATGTGCCAGGAACGGTACAAAGTGTTTTAGAAATATTATTTCATTTGATCCTCACAGCAACCCTAGGAGGTATGTGCTATTATTATCTCCATTTTACAGTTGAGGAAACTGAGACAAACAGAGGTTAAGTGACTTATCTAGGGTTACACGCTAGTAAGTGTCTGAGGCCAGATTTTCCTGATTCCAAGTCCAGTGCTCCAATTACCCAGCTGTCCAGGACTCAGACACCTTGTCAAGAAGGCAGAAGGGGAACAAGGCATTTACCTACCTCCTCCTGAAACATTCATGGGACACCTCCCGTATTCCTATTAGAAGAACATCCTTGCTGTGATCATTTGTACAAGTTCATATATGATTCATTTCCTAAATTTTATATGCTTGCTTTTCCGAGCTAATATTAATTCTGAATTTCAACTTTTCATTCTCAAGGAAAATATTCATTGGCCCTAAGCTGAGAGCACAAGTTTAAAAAAAAAAAACAAGCCCCAGTATTTCCTGTTATTCTAATTTCATGTGAGTGTAGTAGATACTTGTTTAGCAATGGCTTCAAGTTTTGTCTGGTCTTGGAACATCTTAAATCCTGGGCCTTTCTTCTGCTTGCTCTCTTCCATATGTGTGACATTGTCACCTCCTTTTTGGTGAAAATCCCTCCTCTTTTGGTTTCCCCTGATACAACACTTCCCTGGTTTTTCTCCTCTCTCTGATTGGTTTCCTGGCTCATTTATCTCCTTTTGGCCCCAGACTTTGGACATTCCACAAAGTTTGGTTCTTAACTCTGCACCAAGACAAGGCATTCCAAATAAAGTCCTATGTCTATTTCTACAAGTTCCCTTTCACTTGAGAATGATTCTTGGTGACTGAGGGACTCTATTTTTGACCAGGAATATAAATGGAGGTACCCTCAGGAGGGGATCTCAGGAACTAGATTCTGGTCCTGGTTTCACAGCTGTCTTGCTATGGAAGCCTAAGTGACTCATTTTGTCTCTGGGTCTCTTTTTCCCATGCTAATGAGCATGGTGCCTGTTCCTACTGATAATCTACTTATAAATCAGTACCTAGGTTTATAGCTTATATGGCCTACATTTATAGTGCTTTAAGAGTGATAAAGGTTGGGGCAGCTGGATGGCGCAGTGGATAAAGCTCTGGCCTTGGAGTCAAGAGGACCTGAGTTCAAATATGATCTCAAACACTTGACACTTAACTAGCTGTGTGACTTTGGACGAGTCACTTAACCCCAATTGCCTCACACCAAAAAAGAAAAAAAAAGTGATAAAGGTCCTTTCCTCATCACATTCCTATGAAGTAGGTAGTATAATTATCTCAGAATCACAGAAGTTAAAAATGGGAAAGGTTCTCTGAGGTTTTCTAGTATAATCCACATACCACACACTCTCTATAGATACTCTCCATATACCATATACTCTTTATACCATACATACTTCTTCCAGTCTTTGACTTTAGACTTCCAGTAAGGAGGAACTCATGAATTGTGGAACAGTGGAAAGAGATTCTGGAGTCAGAGGACCTGAGTTCAAACCCTGTTTTTGAAACTACCTGTGTGACCTTAAACAAGTCATTTAACCTCCTTGGGCCTCATTTTCCTCATTTGTATGAGATTACACTAGAGATGGTCTCTGAGGTCAACTTTAGCTCCAGACCTATGATGCTATTACCTCCTGGGGCAACCAGTCCAGCTTTTTGATAGCCCTAATTGTTAGGAAGTTCTCCCTTATGCTAAATCTAAATTTCTCTCTTTGCTACGTCCATCCTTTACTCATAGTTCTGCCCTCTAGGGCCAAGCAGAAAAAGACTATTCTTTCTTCCATATCACAGTACTTGAAATACTTGAAGATAGCTATGAGTTCTCCCCTCATCATTATTCTCCAAGTTAAATATCCCTAATTCCTTTAACTGATCCTTCTAAGACATTATAAACATCCTAATCATCCTCCTCTGTTCACATATCAGCTTGTCAATGTATGTTCTAAAATGTGATACCCAGAACTGAACACAATACTCTAGATGTAGTCTGACTGAGGCAGATTGTATAAAGGAGGACCACATAAACTGCCTAGTTTAGGACACTATGCCTCTCTAAGCATAGCCTCAGATTGCATTAATTTCCTTGCTGCCATATCACACTGTTGACTTTTATTGAGTTTCCAGTTCACTAAGACCCCAAGATCTTTTTCAAATTATTTCTAGCTAGCTATACCTCCTTCTTCTTAACACTTGTGAACTTGATTTTTTGGTAATCAAAGTGTAAGACTTTACATCAATCCCTATTAAATTTCATTTTATTATTCTTCCTAGTTTCTTTTTAAAAATCCAACAAATTATGGGACAGAGAATCAGAGAGATTGGGTGATTTCCCCAGGATGTTTATACTTTATATACTCCCAGCTAGAATCTTATACTTGAACTCAAAGATTAGTGCTCATTCTGCCACACTATAGATTATATTTTGCAAATAAAAAAGGAAATGTCATGAAATCATTGGGTGAAATCAAGGTGCTAATAATCCTCTCTGATTATCTACAGATGTCACTTGTTGTTGAACTGAATGTGGGGGGCGAACTGTACACCACCACTGTGGGCACCCTGAAAAAATTCCCAGGCTCCAAGCTGGCAGAAATGTTCAACACAGCCAAGCCTCCTCGGCCTGACTCCCAAGGCAGAATCTTCATTGATCGACCAGGCACCCATTTTCGGCCCATCCTAGAATATCTCCGCAGTGGGCAGCTGCCTACACAGAGCATCCCAGAGGTATATAGAGAAGCCCAGTATTATGAGATCCAACCCCTGGTTAAGCTCCTAGAGGAGACACCCCAGATCTTTGGTGAGCAGGTAGCCAGGAAGCAGTTCTTGCTCCGAGTACCAGGATACAATGAGAACCTTGAGCTCATGATCCGGATTGCCAGAGCAGAGGCTGTGGCAGCTCGATGTTCTGGTGTAATGGTATGTGCAGTGCGGACCGAGGAGGATGCCGCTCGCTGCCTTGATACCTTACAGACTCTGGAGACAGACAAGAGATCAGTGGTCAAGTTCGGGCCCTGGAAGGCATCGCCAGCCATCACTGACTTGTTGGATTGTGTCAAAATGGACATTGAAGCTCAGGGGTACTGTGTTTCTTACCAGCCCTGTGTGACTGAGAAGGGATTCCGAATCAAGTCCTCTGATTACTTTTATAAATTCACTTTCACCTGGTGGTGACCCCTCAGTGGTCTAAGGATTGATACTTTTGACTAGAGATGGGTGCTTATAGAAAAAGAAAGTGTTAAAACATTTAAGTGAAATAAATTAAATAAAAACTATAGCATAAACATTCTGAATTTTTTCATGACAAAGAGGAGACAATGTAGTTGGTAGTCAGCACTAGAGAAGTAGGAAAAGTAGGTGAGTAGGCCTGGGCCCTCTTTCTGATTTTGTCTGTAACATTGGGCATATTTCTCCAATTCTCTGTACTTTTTTTTTCCTCTATAAAAATATGAGTATGTATATTATATATATATGTATACACATACATATATCCATATAATCCAATTGTATATGTTTACATACACAAAATATGGTGAGGACAAATGAGAAAGAATTGGACTGGATTGTCTCTAAGATCTTTTCCAATTCTGATGTTCTGTGTTCTGCTTTCCAATATTATGTGATTTAAAGTCTCTTACATCTCTGACATACTATGATTCTAATATTTTTAAATACTTATAGTTCACCAGAGAAAGGTCCTATGTGAATGATAAATATAAAATACCAAAATCCTCTTTATATCGCTAGCCTTTTTGAAGTGGACAGTAAAAAGAGGATTTCTCTCCTCATTTAGCTTTGTTTTGTTTTGTTCTCTATGAAATGACTGCTGAAAGCTTCTTAATTGTCTCCCTCTTTTCCCTGGAGCAAAACACGTCTTACTTTGCCAGTAGTATGGAATCAATACTGCTTCTAAGAATGGCCAGGCAGGTTTCAGCTCAGAAATACTGTCTTTGATCTTGTTCTAAGAAACAGAAAGGCTGCAAGCACTTTAGACCAACAGGTAATGAGAACAGTGACCCATTTCCCAAACCCATTTCCACACACATTTGTGTGATGGAGCAGCCACATCACAAAAGGATTCCTTGAAAGATCATTTTCTGACTATTGACTTCACTGTAAAGCAAAACTCAAAAGTAGAGCAATATTTGAGCTTATCTTGAGCATACGTGACTTAATGAAAATTCAAAAATTCTGTTTTTAACCACAGCAGCTTGATATTGGTGTTGGCAGTTTTAAGTCTACAAATTCATTTTAAAAATTGCTGAACTCTGAAAATAATACCAGTTCAAGACAACTGATTACTTACTCGTGGTACCGTTAACTGTAGATTTTGAGGAATAAAAATTGATAAAGGATGGTGGTCTTTCAAATTAAAATCTCTGATTGCTCACAGTGATTATGTAATAGGGTTGTTTATAGCATATTACTATTCAGTAATTGTGACTGTGTTGGGGGTTATTCATTCTGCTTTATTGGTTTTCTTTTGATATTCTCTTTTTTTGTTAATATAGTTAAATAGCTGGAGTGTTGATGACAACAATAATGGCTTACATTCATATAGTATTTAAGGTTTATAAAGTTCTTTCCTCAAAACCACAAGAGATGACACAGCTTGGTGGACCTGGGAAAACTGGGTTCTAGTCCTGGCTCTGCTAAGTACTGTGTCACCTGGAACAAGTCACCTTAACCTGTCTAAATCTATTTCTGCATCTATAAAATAACATACTCCCTCACTCATAAGAGTGTTATAATAATAATAGCTCATAGTTCTTTAAAGTACAAAACATTTTCCTAGTAACAGTAGAAAAGCAACTTGGAATTAGTGGATAAAAGTGCTGGTCCTGGAATTGGGAAGACCTGAGGTTCTTGGGTTTTCTTGGCTTTGGGTTCTCTTCCTATGTGTCTGACTATTCCTCAATTTCTTTTGCAGGTTCTTCACTCATGGTGTGTTCACTAACCCCTGTGAACCCTAAGGCTCTAACTTTCTCTTTTTGTTCTATACCATCTCACTGAGAAGCTAAGTGGTGCAGTGTATTTGGCTTGGAGCCAGGAAAACCCAAGTTCAAATCCTACCTCAGACACTTATTAGCTGTGTGGCCCTGGACAAATCATTTAACTTCTTAATAGCACCTACTTTACAGGGTTGTTGTGAGGGTCAAATGAGATAACAGATGTAAAATGCTTTGCAAACCTTAAAGCAGTATATAAATGCTAGCTCTTACTATATTATGTACTTATTTACATGTTATCTCCCCCATTAGAAAGTACGTCCTTAAAGATGAGTCTTTTTTGCTTTTCTTTGCATCCTCAGCAAAAATGCTTGCTTACTGACTGACCAAAACTTGCCTCCATCCCTAACTAGCCATGGGGAAGTCACTTAACAACTCTAAGTCTCAGTATTTTCCTTAAAATGGTGATAGTACCTGTAGTACCTAACAGGTTTATTGTGAAGTTCCATTCCTTCAAGCTAACATCCTTTATCTCTCCTCACTTTTTCAGTCAAACTCATGGAAAATTCCACTCCACAAGTTGTCTGCACTTTCATTCAGTTCTCAACCCTTTGCAATATAACTTCTGCCCTCAGCACTCAACTAAAATAGCCCTCTCTAAGTTATGAGTGATCTCTTAATTGTCAAATCCATGGCATTTTTAGTCCTCAACTTTTTTGACCTCTTTGCATCTTGAAAATGTTGACCTCCTCCTTGACCCCTTGGTCCAGTATACACTCTCCTCTCTGGCTTTTCCTCCCACCTCTGCTTTATGTACTGCTTACATTCTTAGGAAGATAATACGCAAATAAATAGGTGTATACAAGATACATAAAGAGTAGATGGAAGGAAACTTTAAAGGGGAGGATTCCAGTAGGAGGGGAGACAAGTAAAGGCCCCCAAAAGAAAGTGACATTTGAATTTGGTCTTTAAGGAAGTGAAGGATTTTCATACTCAAGGCAAATGCAGGAGATAAGAGTAGTATTTGTCCTGTCTGTGGAACATTAAGTTAACTAGTACAGCTAAATTATAGAATAAATGGAGGGAAGTAAAGTCTAAGAAGAATGAAAAGGTAGGTAAGGGCCAGGGTGTGCAGAGCTTTAAATGCTAAACACTGGATTTCATATTTGCTCCTATAGGTATTAGGGAACCACTAGAGTTTGAGTGGAGTAACTTGTTAAGACCTATGCCTTAGGGAAATCCCCTTGGTAACTCTGTGGAGGCTGGATTGGAGTAGGGAAACCAATTAGAAGACTATTGCAATAGTCTAGGTGAGAGGTATTTACCTGAACTAGGGTGGTAGCTGTGTGAGTGAAGAGGTTGTGAAGGTAAAAATGACAAAATTTGACAAGTAATTAAATATGTGGGGTGAGGGTGAAGAGTTGAGGATGACACTGAGGTTATGGGTATGGGTAACTGGAGTGGTGGTACCCTCAAGAGCAATAGGGAAGTTGAGAAAAGGAGTGTGAGAAGGAAAGAATGAGTTGCTTTGGAAATGTTTATGTTTAAGAGATTTATAGGATATCCAGTTTGAAATGTTCAATGGACAGTTAGCAATGTGAGCCTGGAACTCAAAACAGAGATTGGGACTGGATCTATCTATCTGGTAATCATCTACATAAATAATTAAATCTATGGAAGGTGATGAGATCATCAAGTGAGATAGTATGGCGAGCAAAGAGACTCCAGGACACAGCCTTGGGTTGCAATATAGTTAGTGGAAATAACTTGGATGAAAATGTAGCAAAGACTGAGAAAAAGTTATGATACAGATAGCAACAGAGCCATGGCTTTGTACAGTTGGTTCCCTATGCCTGGAATGTACTCCTTCATTTCTGCCTCTTATAATCCCTATCTTCCTTCAAGGCTCATCTCAAACACCACCTCCTACAGAAGAACAGATACTCCAAATAAAGTTGCCAGTGCCCTCTCCTCTGGAAATTGCATTATCTCACACACACACACACACACACACACACACACACACACACACACTTACATATCTTTGTATATGTTGTTTCCTCTGGTAGACTGTAAGTTCCTTTAGGCTAGAGACTATTAATTTTTGTATTGTACCCTCTGGGCCTAGTAGAGTGCCTGGCACATTTTAAGTGCTTAATAACAAATGCTTGTTGAATAATGTATGTAAAATGACTTTCAAATTATAAAATGCTATAGAAATGTTATAATTCCTCTTTCTCATCATCTTTTTCTCATCTCTTGACTGTGTCAGGAATCTGTATCAAGAATAATAAAGGAGAAAATTTTCAAAAGATCAAGAAAAGCCAACTTTCAGGGTATCCAGAATAGAAATTTTAACTTCAGTTACCAGAAAACATTGCTTTATCTTCACATGGTCAAACCTGACAGTTCTAGGCCTACTAGTAAGAGGCTTTGGATAAGTCTCACAAACGGTTACCAGGTCTATTTCTTCTAAACTGAGAGGATTGAATTGTATATTTCTAAGATCTTGTTCAATGTCAATATCCTCTGATACACATTTTTGTTTTGCAGCTCTAACCAGGATCCTATTTTGTACATACCCATTAGAAAAAAAAAATTATTAAGTGCTCACTATGTGTTGAACACTGCGTTAAGAGCTAAGGACAGAAACAGAAAAATCAAGGTAGATCCTCTCAAAGAGCTCACATTTGAATAGGGTGAGAAAATACATGGTCAGTTAGTATTTCATTTCTGGCCAGCAATGAAGCAAGGCAGATGGTCACTCATCAAGGGAATATGCTTTTGTGGGGAAGAATTCTAATGGAGATTCTTGGAGTGACGGTGCACCTCTGCAACGTAGAACCTATGAGTAAATCTGATATACTACTTTTCCTGCCAAATTTTCCCCCTATAAGGAGTAACTCAACTTTCCATAGGAAAACAGATCCAGGTCCTTGTTCTTTTGGGTATGACCACTGGATGCATAACTGGACTCATGAGGACTAATGCATTTGTATTGTGTGAGAAACTAGTTTGGGGAAACAGTAGAGGAGGAAGTACCAGATGTTCCTGACTCTATCTCCAATTGGGACTCGTGTACCCTTGATTTGGATTAAGCGAGATGCCGTTTATTACTCCTTCCTACAAGACACAGGAGCTGAAGATTGGAGAAGGGGTTGCTCTCTCCTACTCCACTCTAACCCCTAAGTTGGCTGCTCTTTACGTAACATCATGGAGGCATATCTGCTTCATTCACAGAACATGACTGTTTCATATTTTGTTTTTTATCCATAGTTCCATTGCACACAATAAGCAATTAATAGATGCGTGTTGATTTCAATCACTCATCAAGCATGAAATGCCTTCCACAGGCAGAATAATGAGCTAAGTGAAAAGGCTACAAAGATAGGATTTGGATTCTGTTTTCAAGCAACTTATGACATAATAGGGAGAACAAATACACA